TGTGGCGCATCTGTATCTTATTTTGAAGGGATATGTAAATGTTACCATAGCGACCAGAGTCAGAGCGTTTGGGCAGTGGTCGAGAGGAGATGAGTAGAGCTTGTGAGTCTTAAGTCTGGTTTAGACGGCAAGATTTAAGAATTGTTGGCCGATTCTCCAAACCTCTGTGACCACAGAGCTGATAAAAGTACAACAGGTTCGATCAGTTCGTGTCTCCAGCCACATGGCAGGAGCAACAAACCACACGAACCGATTCCAGTCACAAACATCGCGATTCCAGAAGAAAATCCACAAAACCCCCAACATAGCATACGGGAATTTAGAAGAACCAAACACGGATGACGATGTAGAAGCAATAGTGACAGTTTGTGGAGTCATTTTAAGAGATAAAAGAAACAAAAAGAAAAGGCGGTGGATAAAAGACGACGGGAGCAGCCGCTCTATTTGCTGCACTATGATTTGGAGGCGACTATGTTTTTTCATAGTTAACATTTTTAACTGAATAAACATAAACATATAATAACGACCTTTACATATAATAATAAACATTTCCACATATCATCTCTGATATCCACTGGACTCTCAGTTGCGCGATATGTCAGCTGTTTGGGATTCCCCTCTGTTCTTACGTCACTGCGCTTTCTGATTGGCTACCTGTCACATTCAACAGGTTGTATTCTCGTTCCCAGTCAGGGAAAACCCCACAGGCTGCGATAAAAAGGCCAAGACAACCCAAACTGGGTATATTCAGGACTTAGCGGGAACACCAACATGCAGAAGCCTTATCTGACGGTTCACCCCTCCCCCCGGGCCGCAGCAAAATTTTCCAAGTCTTCACCGGTCCGTGGTAATAAAAAGGTTGGGGACCACTGGTCTAAATAACAAATAGTCAAGGTGATTTAAATACGTTTTATTCCCCAAAATCGACTTAATCATATTTAAAAATTCATAAGCATAAAATGAATATGTACATTATTTTTGAATCGACTCAAACATACCTAAAACTTACTAAACCTTTACTCCCCCCCCCCCCCAAAACACCCCTACTATTAGTATTTAGATGATCTCTGATGAAGGTTAGTTGAACCTGGGTTTTATTTCAGGATATTGGATTAAGGAGGCACAATTTGAATTATCACTACACTTTGCCAAATTTTATTTATAAAAAAAATATAAAATGCAAAAGTTGTATATGTAAAATTGTTGAGTCCAAATTGAAAAAAAAAATGTGAAAAAGTTCTATGGATCTGAATACTTTCACAAGGCAGTGGAATGCGTAATAGTTCAGTTCCATAAGCCCTGAGATTACACTGCACAAAAGTGGGACCAGCTGTAAGACATTTTTATAGTGTAAGATTACCATCACATGCATTTAGAATCATCATGTATCCCATCGGGATCAGAAATGCATATACTGTCCAACCTCAGAGATGACTACAGGAAGGTGCTCCATTGGGTATCCAGGTACTTCTCCCAGTCTGAACTGGTGCCTTAAGTCTTGGTGGGCAATTCTCTTTACTCCTTTCTTTAGCACACACAACAGCTTGCTCTTCCATGGTGGAGATGTCTTCACGGGGGCAAAAACAGTGGGAATGCTTTCAACAGCATTGAAAGCACCAGAAATAAGTAGTGACTTATTTCAAAAAATGGGGGCATTAGATAGATCATAGACATGAATATTTACTCATTGTTTTTGCAGCTTGGATATCTTTTTTTATATAAAATATTATAAATTACTGTCTGTGGAAAGAGGATCCTAAATTGGATTTCTAAAACAATGCATCTAACATTTATGCATTTTTTAAATGCAAGACTACTTTATCTGTTGCATGTGTGCATTTCTTACTTGAGCATCCCCAGCATGCAATGTTCCACCAGGTCCAGTAAAAAGTAGCAGCCTGTTCATCCAGATGTCGTCCAGAAAATCCAGTATAATCTTTTGATTCTCCTCTGCTGCAATAAAGCGGTTCCACTTATCCGTCTTCACTCGTAGCACACAGAAAGCCTGCTCTCTAAGGAAGTCAACTCTTTCATCTGACAGCACCACCCCTGTCTTTAGAGAGGGTTCCTGCGGGACACGCACTCCTCCTGCAACCGCGGTGGTCATACCGCCGCTGTTACCTCTACTTGTGCCCCCAGCCTCAGCCATGAAGACTCAGCTGGTAGAAAGGGCAGAGAAATAATGTGCAAGGGAATGTGAAACCTGAGAAGAGGTTCGAGTGGAGCAAGATAACAGGTGCTAACTTACTTCAGTCCTGCTTGACAAGATGGATGGATCTCTCTGTAAACCTAACAATGTCCTTCTGCTTTTGTCCAAACTTGGTGTTCTTTCTTTTCTTTAGCCACCTAGAAAAGCTATTCACAACTGGATAGATGGTTGCCTGTGTCACTGTGACAATGTGTGTGGGATGGCTTCATTACACTAAATGGCAGCGTCTGTTTGTGGAGCTTATAAAGCTTGTAACTCAATCTAGGTAACCCGAACTCTCAGAGGAGACTTACAGAGTGTCCCAGAGGACAGGCAAAATTATAGCAAGTAAAATGTCCACGAACATTACGTTTTTATTAAGACAGTGCTTTGCAAAAGAATTATTATCCCATTCAAATTTTGACATTTTTGTCCTATCACGACCTAACCCACCTGATTAGTATATATAGTCCATCTGTAAGTAACTTAATCTAAATTGAAATTTGCTTAAGCACATTAGTCACTAAATGTCATTATAAAGACCAAGGAACATACTAGACATGTCGGGGATCCTATTATGGGGGAGTCTGCTTTCTAAAGCACTTTGAATTGGCTTGAATGATGTTGTTGATACACACGATTAAAGAAGCAAAACGGCAAACTTTGGCCCGAGCATCCAAAAAGGGAAAGAGTATAGCACAACTGTAAACCCACCATGGATTTCTATTTAAGCTGACTGACTGGGCAAGGAGAGTATTAATCAGAGCAGCATCAAAGACACTCATGGTAACTGAAGGAGATGCAGAGATCCACAACTCTGTTGGGGAAACGGCAAACATGTGGAAGAAGGTAACTGGTATCACCATAGTATATCTTTGTGGCTAATACAAAATTACAATACAGTATTGTTTTTTCCCATGGGGAATACTCCTTTCCCCATTTTTTAAATCTTCTTTTGCCAAACAAATGAATTGTTGAATGAATACTATGGTAATATTAATAAGACACAGTATGTGATAAACAGGAGACTGACTGAAATCAAGAAAGAACAAATACTTTTTTGTCTATGGCCAAATAACAATAATTCAAGGAACATGGCCATCTAAGAGCCGCCGAGAGACATTTGTTACGCTAACCTTTTGACACAAAGGCAGCTCTGACCAGATCTCAGGCTGACTAAAGAACATCTGTTGTATCTCAAGTGTCCAATATGGACAATAATGCCAATGGGTATTATAAATGGGTATTGTTGTTTGGTTTCACCTAATGTGAAATTCCTATAGATTTGTGTTGAGGTTGAACAAGTTAGATTCCTCATAATGTTATTGAACCCATTGCTTTCTTTATTTTTCTGGGGCCCATTTCTGTCCTCCTTACAGGGGATCTGACTGAAGCTTGTGTTTGTGATGTTTTGACTGAGCCACAAACATTTGAACATAGTTGGCAAATGACAAAGCATTTGCATGTTCCTGAACACAACAAAGTGGCATGCCAGAGGTCACAATGCTTGGACTAGATAATATCTGTTTGCAATTGTTTTCATCTTATAGCTAGATTACTTTATATTGGATTTTTGCCCCCAAAACAGTTGTTAATCCCTCAATAGTGCAATGTGTAGCATCACCACATGAGGGCAGCTGGGTACAGTGCTCCAGACAGCATCCTTCAGCTGTAATCCAAAGTGACCCTAACCATGACATCCTATTACGAATGTTATGCCATTTATGTAAAAATGTAGAAAAATGGGGCATTTCTCTAACTGTATTACTTAAAATACCACAGCAATGATTACCCTTATAAAGATCCTTCAGTCTGTGAGTTTAACATCAGGACATAGACATAATCCTCTCCAAATTTTAAAATATATGAGCTGGAGAACCCAAAGCCTCTCTGGGATGCCTGACATTTAAGTGCATTGCTAACCTTATAGTCATACATTTAATTCATATTTGTGACAAATCAATAAAACAGTGCACAATAATATCCAAAAATGGATGACATACATATTCCTTCCACAGAGGGTGTTTAGTAGCCAAATGTTTATTGGTGGAGGAAAGTCTTGTATTTCTTGACAGAGTGAAAATAAGGTTTAATCGTTCACCATGTTATGACAATTAATTTTCTTGTTCAGTAAGAATCTTTTCAGCAATTACACACATTTCAATTACTTGTAAAATTAAATGTAGTTGTTATTGGTGTTGTTTTGTTTCTACATACCAACAAAATGACAAAGATGTTTTTTATTACACTCTTGAAAGGCAAAGTTTAAATACCTTTCTGTAATCAGAGCATTTTTGTCTTTGATATTAATCATGACAATTTTTTCTTTGATTGTAGCATTTTGTTCCTTGATCATAGCATTTTTGTGATTGATTATAGGCTTTTTTGTTTGATCATAGAAGTTTTGACTTTGATCATAGCAGTTTTGTCTTTTGTATTAATCACAACCTTTTGTCTTTGATCATACATTTTTTTGTCATTGATCTTAACCATAGTCTTCCTGTCTTTTCTCAAAAACCATAGCCTTTTTGTCTTTTATCTTAGCATTTTCTCTTTGATCTTGGCAATTTTGCCTTTGATCTTACCACTTCTGTCTTTGATCTTTCCAGTTGTCCTTGATCTTAGTGTTTTAGTCTTGGATCATAGCATTCTTGTCTTTGATCTTAGCAGTTTTGCCTTTGATCTTATGACTTCTGTCTTTGATATTTCCAGTTTTGCCTTTGATGTTAATACTTTTTGTCCTTGATCTCAGTGTTTTTGTCTTGGATCATAGCATTCTTGTCTTTGATCTTACCATATTTGTCTTTGATCTTAGCAGTTTTGCCTTTGATCTTACTTACCAGGTTTGTCTTTGATCTTGGCAGTCCTGCCTTTGATCTTATGACTTCTGTCTTTGATCTTTCCAGTTTTGCCATTGATGTTAATACTTTTGTCTTTGATCTTACCAGTTTTGTCCTTGATCTT